TTCGGCATCATCGACCAGAACGCGGGGGTGCGCGGCGCGCCCGACCTGTCCGAGTGCACCATCAAGACGGTGGTGGTGAAGCACGCCTTCCTCATCTCCACCGTGGTGTTCTTCCTCGGGCCCGTGTCCGTCATCACCTGCCTGTACGTCCGCATCGCCGTCAAGCTGCGCCAGGTCAAGCGGCACCGCATCCGCTGCACCAACCAGGGCCAGGGCCAGGGCCACGTGTTCCGCATCCTGGGTGAGTTGAGCAGTTAGGCGCGCGCGAGCTGTTGTCGGTCGGGGTGCGAGCCTCGCCGCCCCCGCCCCTTTCAGTCCGTAAGTCAGCCCGAGCGCGGATAGGGGTCGTTTCAATCATTCACAGTAATCCGATCGCATCTGAATTGCCAATCGGTGGCGCACTGCCCCTTTCCCGTCCCTCCCGTTCCTCCCTTCCCTCCCTCACCTCCCTCCCTCTCCTCCCTCCCTCTCCTCCCTACGTCCCGCCTTTCGCCGCTAATCCCCTCGCATTATGCCGGCAGGTGTCGCCCGCTGCTGAAGTGCCGCGCGCGCGCCGAATCTGTTACATTTGCATCATTATGGGGCCGGCTTTTGTTTTGGAAATTTAATAAAAAGCCTCCCCTTCCAGTTTGTCTCCGTGCGGCGGCCCCCTAGTTTCAGTTTGCTTGCCGTGTCCATGCTGTGGCCTTCACAGGACAGCGCTCAGGCGGTCCGCTGCTCGGAGGAGAAGTTCCCTATAGTCTCATATACCTGCCGATATATCAGCGGATAAAATCTAATAAGAAGGTTTTATTGACGAACGCATTTTTTTCATGGCGTGTTTCTTTTGTTTGCCTTCTTGTCCATCTATTTGAGCGCGTCTCGTCTCCTTGAAGAGAAGCCCCCTCAGTCTTACCGGCATCGGCTTGCTCTTTGTATAACCCACGCGAGAGAGTGGGGGAGTTGGGGTGGGCGTTGGGGAGGGGGGTGAGTAGAGACCTCTGGACTTCCTTTGGAGTCGGCTGGAGAATATTGGAAGCTGCGCAGCCCCGCAGCTATACCGTCAGTGGAGACAGCACCTGGCTTCAGACCCGTTGATCCCACTCGAGACCCAGACGGGAAGCAGAGGCGGCAGCTCTCTCTCTCTCTCTCTCTCTCTCTCTCTCTCTCTCTCTCTCTCTCTCCAGCGCGCGAGCTCGCTCTGGAAAGAGATAAGCCCCGATGTGACCTCCTGGACCAGGGGAGAGAGCAGAGGAGGACGCCAGCCCGTGTTATTGTCCAACTTTGCCACCGAACCCCCCCCGCACCCTGTCAATATATTGA